TACAGAAAAATGGCACTTCGTAAGAAACCGTGAAACTACAATAGAATGTGACGCAAGCCGAGATGGTATCGGGCGGCTTTAGAACAGGAAACATCCGATAGCTGGGCTGCCATTGCGTACGCATCTCGCTTTCTGAAAGTAAATATTCCGTCAACAAACAGGAGTTATTGGCCGTGGTATAAGTAGTCGAAAATTTTAAGAATTACATATACGGTTGAAGATTTACCCTGATTACTGACCATCAAGCCCTCATAAGTGCACATCAGAGCAATAAAAACAAGGAAACATATAAAGGCCGTTTACCAAGATGGATAGACTGTCTCCTTCCATTCAACTTTGATATCAAACATCTTTCAGGCAGTAAAATGGGGCTAATCGACTATGTTTAATGTCAACCGGAGGGAAAACCCCAACCCCCAGCGTACAGAGATAAGCACTTCGTGGTAGCATTCATTGACGATTTCATAGTTTTCCTCAAATTTCAAGACAGCACTAAGTCAAATATAGAAAAGAAATGTATTTCAAGCTAATTTCTAGGTACGCATAAGCTCCACCGGAAAAAAAATTTGCTTTTTTAAATTCGATTGAAAAACCAACTGCATTCACTGATAAGAGTCAACTGAACAAATTCAGTCGCAAACTTTGCTCTAATCCAAACTCTCAACTTCATAACAATTCAAATCAACCGTTCCCTTCAAATAATACAGAGTTCAAACATATGAGTAGACAATTGCAAACTGGACTGACACTACCACATTCAAACCAATATTACAAAATGCCACAGTGGCTCAAAAACTCATGATTTTTTCCACCCACAAATTTCGCGTTTTTTAACCTAATGTTACAGAAACCTCCACCTAAAAATCTACCAATCATTGACTTCGCCCATCAGGTAATACCGTCGGAACAAAGTTTTCCTCTCAAACGAATAGTGAACGAGAAAACGGATAAACTATGCAAAACAGCAGAGTCACACCAGAATGTCGAATGCCAAGTGATTACGATGGACGAGGACGATATCGCTTTTTGCCGATGATAGCGTTTGCGAAAACCCCTTGACTTCGACTTTTTAGCAGCTGCCACCAAAAGAAATAGGAGTCTCCAGCCTTTATTCAACATGGTACGTCAGCAGAGATGAGAAAACAAAAAGGCCTGCTACGGTTCGTACTTCTACAAGGTACGAGACAGGTTGTCAATGCGAGACAATATATTCTTTTACGATGAGCGAGCAGTCGCTCCGAAACAATACTTTTTGACTTGCTTCATTTGACACATCCAGGCCGGGTGGTATGCTAGAGACGACCAAACGCGTGTGCTATCCATAATTGCACTGACACATTTTGTCAACAGCTCACAATAGCCGCGAAGGCCGAACAAAGGTTAATAAATTTAAAGTAATCTCCGAGAAACTGCATTTAACCGCACTTGATGCAGTGTGGAACCTAATGAAGAAATCTAGTTGGGTCTTGCGGGACCATTTCTAGATGAAAACAACAAAGATTTGTGCATCCTAGTAGAGGTAGACCGCTTCTCCCGATTCCCGTCGGCAAAGGTTGCTGCTAATCATAAGACCGACACCGTAATAAAATTCATGCAAACGCATATTGTAAGCCACGGCGTGCCATGAAAATTTCGTAGCGATAAAGCCCAAGGTCTTAGAGCAAAAAAATCATGATATACTGCAAAAGTAATAGCATATAATTAACCTTTGCAGCGGTCGGCGACCGCCGTTTAATGTGTATGGTCGAAAGTTAATTAGAACTACAAAAACTAGACTGTCAATCATGAGAATCGACAAAAACAATCAACCGTATAAGCTTGCGTCCGACGTGGCAGAATTATTCAAGACGTTGCGCCTTACACCAAATGCCACACCAAAATTACACTTTTTGAAGTCCATCATAGTCCTAAACTCAACACATCTCTAAAAACTATGTGCACATGACTCAAAGCGTCTAACTTCTCATAGGAAAAGCAAAACTTTCGCGTTTAGACGAAAAGTTTCTAATGAAGCCTGCACTACCAGCCGAGGCAAAGTAGAATTGGGAGCAGAACATTGAAGACGATCTTGACCCTCTATATAGAGAACAAGCTTACCTGTCCGAACCAACTTGAAACCCAACGGTGGAGAATTCAGCACAGGACAAAACAACTTTCAATCAGGGAGTCCAAAGGAATAAGGCAACCGTACAACCAGAAAACAGAAGAAGACAATATGGGACAACTTGTGTCCAACAAACAAACCAGTCAGACTAGATAGCAGCGACAAAAAATCGTCAGGACACTAAGGTAAAACTTACCAATAGGTGCGCTTCTTACATTAAAAAAATATCTCATATGACGTGGTAAAAGTTAAACAACCATTTGTGGCTAAAAACCCAAACAATGACATCGCTACACTAAGAGCATAAAAACCAATCCGGTGGATAACCGCCGCAAAAGAAAAGCAAACATTAGAAAGAGCTCATCTAGTCTTCCTAAATGGACCACAAAACAAAATTAGAAAAGTGTATCGAACAAGTGGCTAGAAATCCCGAACTATAGCTTGCAACACCACAAGTCCCGAGGTGCTCGTTGCAAAATTTAAACTAATCGAAATTGGATCAGTCGTTAACTTCTCACAGCACCTGCGTGGATAGGGGAGGACGGTAAACAGCCGTGGGCCATTAGACATGACGGCCTAGCTTGGATACCCAAGAGTCTACGGTAATTGTGGGCAGGCACAAACAAAAATTTTGTAGCGTATTAACATTTACCAAGGGCACAACCACGTTTTTCATACATACGAGACAAGAACAAAAAACATGCAATTTTATCAAAGTCAACCCCAAAACCCGCAGAGAAACCAGTATTACAATCATCAACATCATCGCTTCCGAAACGCAAACCTCCCAAGAACTTTGAAGAAGTGATACTTCAGTCGATGAACAGAAAAGCAATAGGACCACAGCGAATCCTTAACCCATTCATAGCAAAGGCCAAAAAGGCCCAGATTGATGAACAGAAGAAAAAAGAGGAGGAAAAACTCAAAAAGCTACCGTTCAGAAAGGGAGAGGAAAAAGAAGCCCAGAGAAAATCCCGAAAAGAGGTAAGATACTAATTCAATATGACTGTGATGTATCAATCTCCTTGTGTTCGGACGGCTTCGAACTACGACGTAAAACACCGTCACCACAAAATCCAGCGGCAAAAAAAAATCGATCTCAAACGTACGCCGGAATCTAAAATCGAGAAGCAGTACATTGGCCAAGAATGTTGGAAACGCAATCCCGATTAATCAAGCCATTGAAGCAAGCCCCGAAGCAAACATCACAATAGGAAACATCACTCTTACCGACAAACCACCCCAAACCGAGGACAAAAATGTCGTAGAAGAACAACCAGGAGGAAACACGGTAACCATCGACAAGTTTTGAATGCATCAGAATCGACATCACGCAAAATACGCCAGAAAACTTTAGAGCAGAAACATCCATTACAAACTCCCCGCCACATGGAGAACTGACAAATTAACCACACCCAGAACCGACCAAAATGAGTAACACAAACAGCTCGAAAAATCCACACCGAATACGCCACCACATTCTTTATCGCAAAGGGCTGTAAGCACGAGGTTTGTCATTGATCGACAAATATTAATTACAACATCTCCGGATGCCAACTTCCTCAAAGACTTTGATACCCTAAAAGCTATTTCACTACTAAAAATTCAATGACTTTTCAAAGAGATTGCGATCATCACTAAGCTCGAACAAAAGCGGACATGAAATAAACAACATTAAACATGGAGGAAAAACGAACCAGCACTACACAAAGAGCGTTCAATACGCCACCAGCAACTAAAAATCCCAACAAAGAAACATCTACAACGACAGCACCGGGAAAGAAAACAGCAGTGAGAAAAGACGCAGAAAAAAACAAACATATGATGACAACCAAAAAAGGGGGAAATGTTATCCGAACGGTTATAGCGGATACCCATAGAAAACTGATTAGTTCTAAAACACTAAACTTCAACCTTATGTGATAACCATACTTGATGATATAAATACTTAACATGTCTGATCTATTTAAATACCTGATAGAGCTGATGCCATATTCAATATTTATATATGAATTTCTGTCTCTTTCTCATGATTTTGAGGTCAGATTTCAATCAGACATAATTTTAACCGAACAAATTTAAGTTGCTCAAGGTTCTTCTTATTTCTTATCTAACACTCTCTTACTCAGTTCATGTATCATTGCATAGATCGCTTACCTTTACACTTTCCGTTGGTATAACAATTACTTTCAGACCAAAAGAGGGATATAAATTATGGCAGAACTGACCTAATTTTATTTTTTGAGCTTCGAAATAAGATTTATTTAATATGGTTCAAAGTTGATTCACTTCCATCCTAATTTGACAAAAATACATTTTTTTGATTCTAAACCGATCTGAATTCATTTTTTTTATTGCTGACAAGTAGAAACATTCATTACTTTAGTTCGAAACTGAGCAAACCCTTCAGCCAAAATTTTGATTGCCGAAAAACGGTTAATGAGTCTAGAAGATAACCCAAACTTATTAATTTTGTTATTTTCCACGAAAAATGAGTGGAAATACTAAAAAATGGTAACCTTGCTTGTCAGACCAAATTTAGTTCAGGATCTTAAATTCGAATTTATTAATGCTAAATGCACTATGAAAGAGCTTGGAACCATAAAGCGTCGTTTCTACTTAACTTGTAATCCAAGAAAACAAAATTAGGGAAAATTTAATCGTCAAGGATATCGCAGTTATTTAAAAACAGGTCCTAATTTCTGGAACCGCGGCTTTCAAAATCCTCTCCGCGATTACTCTCTTGAAAGTCAAAATAAGTGTTGAAACTTTGTTTAACTATTTTATATGTAGTTTTGAGTTAGTCTCTTTGACGTGAAGTGATTATTATGCGATTTTATAGCCCAAAAGGTGTAGTATTAGTTGAAAATACAACTGTTTAAAACTAAATATTGCGCTTAAGTCCACTCATTAAAGTTAGCTTAAAGTCAGAAGTAGTCTAAATGCATAACTCGTTAGACCAGAGTTCGCAGCGTGAAACCGCTAAAAATGTAACAAATTATTCCCTACAAAACCCCGGAGTTCTAACAGCTCCAGTATTACCACACCAGCTAAAAATTTATTCCAATATTGACCCAAATTTTTATTACCATCAAACAGAAGAGATCATTTCGTAAGGCTGTGTTATGCGACTACTACAAAGCGTGTTAGCATCCTCCTATTTTTCCGTTTTTTGATAAGTTAACTCACTTTTTTAATGATTTGGCGTCGGCGTATCCATAACTTATTTCAGATAAAAACAACTAGCCCGCCTTTAGTTGTTTCAAGCTAATTTATTGCATCCTTTTCAAACGGTTGTTTTTTGTTCTTGACTCAGATCGTCATTCAAAATCACTCTTGTGTTAGATAACTATTACCTAAAAGTAGAGAGCCTTTTGCAATAAAAATTCAATAGTTACTTCATTGCTGTGAAATTGTTAGTCATTTTTTGAACCAATACTTTTCCAAGTTATTAAAAATGGTGTTAACGTCAACTAGTGATAAATAAACTGGTCCTACCTGGACTGGGGAATGAAATTTTCAACTGCACTTCAATTTCAATTTGATTTGCCAAAGGTTTTTGTTAAAAAAAAACCAAAAAAGGAACGTTTGTTTGAAATAGATCCAGCCCCCAAGACTTTAGTCTTAAGCTTCGCTTGTAAAAACATCATATAGACAAATGGTTCGTCCTAATTTGATTTTGGTTGATTCTGATTTCGCACGCTGACTTCATACGCAACTCGCAAAATTCAAATAAAACGCCTATTAGTTGGTGCGCAACAAAGTTCAAACGCTCAATGTGTTTATAATATTTATAACCGTTGAAAAAAGCAAATTTTGGGTTCATTGATATTTATTCCGATCATTGCAGATGAAGAACAAATTTTGCCTTCTGGTGTTTAACATTTTTTTTCTGTTTTTGATTCGTTTTCCTCACAAAAGCAGGCACAACAAATAATAATCATAATGATTCGAAGGATAAACCATAATAAATTCCGTTGTATCATGGTTCAAACGAGTTTTAACAAAATTCAAATATAAAAAAATCCAAAAAAACTGGTTCGAAGTTTTTATTTTTAGTCTAGTTTTGAGAGCGTAAGCCAACGAGTGACGTCTCAGAATAAACTTATAATAGGCTAACTCTTTTAATTTAAGTTTAGTCGTGCAACTTTGTTTTTATTCCAGTAAAATTAGTTTTTGAGGTTTCTCTCAATGCCTTCTTAGAAATTTTTCACAATTTGAAAAAAAAATTTTGTTGCTGTTTTATTGATTGTCGTCAAAAAATTATGAGCTTCCTGCACGGCAGCCGGCTATTCTTGTTATAATGCTCAAAAACTTATCAGAGTGACTTGATGTAGAAAAAAAGCACTTGGTTTTACCCCACCACAAGCTCTGTATGTATGTGCACGTATTTTAAGATTTGATAGAAACAAAAAACATATCTATTTTGAATTTAGAATGATGTTTGCCGCCTATACTTTGACACAACAACATTTATTGTTCCGACTTTCGAGACAAAAGTAACAGAAGAAGCCTTCATACAAATTTCGGCTTCTTAACTCGCCATTTTTGACGGAGTATTTTCCTATCATTCAAAAGGTATTGTTGTCCTGAGCAAAAATTTGAAAAATTGTTCCTTCTGTGATCAATTTAGGCAAGGTTATGGGGGTTTAAAGAGTGCCATTTTGGCCAATTTGGGAGAATTAACGCGCGATATATTTCGCACTATTAACGCGTAAGCGGAGATTTAATCTGCCTTAGACATCGTTCCAATTGGTTGAAGGAAGCTTATTTTCCATAATTGATTTGTTACTAGGAGCGTAATTTATCACTTTGTACTTTATATGGGGTGTGGGGGATGATTTTCATAAAAATTCTCAAACTTTAATTTTTTTTTCATTTTATTTTCTTGCATTTAATTTTTTCATGTTACTTTTTCTCCATAGACCTTAAAAAGCAGTCGGAACATTCAAGATTCGTGCAGTGTTGTTGCGCTTTGATAACCCCAAAGCACCAAATATCATTCACAATTAAACTAGCAGTTAAATAAGTCGCATGTGACATATCATTTTAATTTTGAGCTCTAGAAGTTCATGGCATTCAAAATATGTGAGAGAAAAGGGACCCGGGCAAAGATATTTTGACATTTTTTTTGATGATATGGGATAATAAGCAAGCAATTATATAAGCGAGCTCAAAGTCGTTTTCCAAGCTGAACTGAGGCATTCTTGTTAACCTATTGAACATCTACTAAGTGCTAAAGGTAATACTTTATACTTCAAGTAGTGTGTAACGCAGTGTTTGTTTTAAAAAATATTCTCTTTTTCGTTTTTTTAACTTATTTTTATCCAGTTATTGAAATGATATCTACTCCATTACTCCATAGGCGTTTAAGGGCAATCAGTCGGAACATTCAATACGTCGCCCTATTATGAGCGGTTATTCTGTTGTTGTTCCAACTTTCGTAACGAAAATAACGGAAAATTTGAGCTCGGGTGGGTTTTTTTTTCATCAAACAAATTTCGACTTTTCAACTAGCCATCCAATTTGGGACAATTAACGCGCGATATACTTCGCACTATTAACGCGTAAGCGGAGATTTAATCTGCCTTAGACATCGTTCCAAATTGGTAGAAGGAAGCTTATTTGCCATAATTGATTTGTTACTAGGAGCAAAATCTATCACTTTGTACTTAATGTGGCGTGTGGGGGGATGATTTTCAAAAAAATCTCAAATTTTGATTTTTTAAAAAAATTTTATTGCATTTATTTTTTCATGTTATTTTTTGCGCCATAGACTTAAATGGCTGTCGGAAAATTCAGGGCTCTGCCCTGATACGAACAGTCTTGTTCTAATTAGTTCAGAAATGTTTACGTCAGCTCCGTTATTCTTTATAGAAGGGCTTCGAAAACAAAAAAAAATATTTCATCAATGAATATTTCCGCTCTGAAGATATTTCCTTAAGTTTTCTATTTTGAAGATATCAAGGTTCAAATAAAATAGATTTAGTACCATTTTCCGCAATTGGAATATGAAAAAAAACATTCGGCAATTGGAGTTTTCCAAAATGGACGACATTAAGGGCACTTTTGTCAGTTGTGCTATGAAGTCATTGTAATTTGATTTGAAAAATTTTAAATGGAAATCGATTTTCAATCAGACTCGAATTTAGAAGCTCTTTGACAAAAAGTTTTTCCTTTTATAAAGGAATTTGACAGCCTTTTTGACTTTTCAAAAATTTGGTCGTAACATAAGACCTTGGTCCCATATATATGTTTTCATTAATCAGTTGCAAGCACAGCCTTACTTTTCAAATTGAATCGTGTTATCAGAAATTCTAGAAAATTCCTGACATTACCAAGTCGTCCGTCTAAGCAAAATTTGGTTCTTTCTGAGATTAACTCAAATCGACGACTGTCACCGGACACTTCCGAGTTTCCAGAGTTCCGGACACCCAAGTTTTTAGCCGAGTTGACCCATATTTATTCGGTGCCGAAGAAAGATGCCAAAATTACAACACTCTCATCGGACAATCTTGACAAGGTTAACTCAAGTTTTATTCCAAAGTTAACTATTCTGATTGGAGGGTAGAGAGAGACATGTGGGTCGATTAGCATGCGGCGGTTGAATACGTGGTTGTCTGTCAAGCCAGGCAAAACTTAATTAGAATCAACGGTATGGTATGTAAACGCATAACTGTTACCAAAAACAAAAGAAACATTAAGAGGAGCTGATGGCTGATGGATTTATTCGGAGAAGGTCCATAAGAGGGGGGGGGGGGGGTGGGTGGTGTTAAGTGATGACGTGCTGCAAATTCGTTGGTACTTTTCTGACCCCCCTCCCCTTACATACACATAATTCGCCATTTACGCCGTCGGCCGTCATAGCAGTGTTGCGGCTTTGGGTGATGCATTGAAATTGTTCTCCTTGTAATCATTTGAATTACTAGATTTTCAAACAAACTTCACACACACTTCACGCATTTCTTCCGTTTTCAAACTTGAAAGGCAATAAGCAGTTTCAAAAATAATGACATGGTTATCAAACACCCTATCAGGTGATCATTTTTCGCTTTTCGTACATCGTATTGTTATATTACGATTTTAGCTATAACAGAGCACATAAAAGTACAATAAAAAAATGAAAATTGACGCAAGGGGGTTGGTGTTGCGGTTTCGGAAAAAAGCAAGGGGTTCCTCTGCGTAACATAAACTGGGGCTTGTCAAATATGTCCGAGTACCTAGAAAGACCCACTATCTCTTGTTTTTGGAGGAAATTTCCGTTTTTAAGTGTATTTTGAACAAATTCTATATAATCAGTATGACAAGAAAAATTCAAAGCCACAAATATGATGATTTATTCGCTAATTTGCGATCAATAATTCTCTTTCTTTCCCCCACAAACTTGTTAAATTAACATTTATTATGTCCGCGACATCATCAAATATCACATTCATTAAATCATCCATATGCTTTATTTTCATTAACTTGGTCTTTTGAAATCATGAATGAAGTTGAATTTGTTTTTAGCGCAACAAGTTTAAAATTTTTTTGTTCCTGACAACTCAAAGGGTGAGACTCATTAATTTGACATTTTCTTCTTAGTAAAAACAAAATAACATAAAAAAACGCGGGAAATCAAGTATTATCAGATTGATACACATTTCAAATGCCGTGTTTAGGGCACTTGTCATGCTAGTAAGGCTGAATGCTTGATTTTTCGCTGTAAAGTATGACCGGGGCCAAAGTTTTCGACTTATTTTTGACCGTCTCGCCAAAATTTTGGTCTGTTTCGGCTCTCCGGACAAAATTTTGCTTTGCTCTTTTTCTCTCGACCCTAGAAAAAACTTGTTAGACTTGTTTTGATTTTCTCGACCAACGGTACGTTTTAAATTTCTCGGTTTTCTGGACTGAAACAATTTGCCGTATTTAAAACATGCAAAATCAAGTGCGTAGGTAGTTAAAGTAAGTGTTATGCTTTCTGAGGTATCGCTTGACAGAATTCCCTCAAAGCTAGCAATGCACTCTTGGACCGTGTCCAAATAAACTATATGTTTTATCCGATTTTTTAGGTTATTTTGGTTAGAAATTAATTTTTTATGATTGAAGCTAATGAAGCTTCTAGAACTCAAAGTTCAAATTGAAGACCAAAAATTTTTAAACATTTGAAAAGGAAAAAAACGCGTTTGTTCGACCTTTTTCTCATTTATATTTCACCTATGTGTCGACTCTGCTAGACCTATGTCTCGCCTCTGCACGATATATGATTCAACTCTGCTTGACCTACCCGCACCGAAGGCCCATGGATTCTAATCGATTAAAATGGATTACCGAGACAAAAATCATCCATTATAACCCATTAAAGATGTAAAAATCAGACCACCGATTATAACCGATTGCTTTTGCAAAAAAAGTAATCAAATATAATCCATTATAAACGATTATTATCCATTTTTTCCGGCATTGAAATCAATTATTTTTGCCAAGATAATCTATTAAAGTCGATTACTTGTGAAAAAAAATCCATTATAATCCATTATAATTGATTAAAACACTTTTTATTTTTAGAACTAAACTCGATTATTTTTGCAGAATTTTTGCAAATTTTGCAGGAAGATTGCAAAATGTATGCCATGTCTTTCACTGAACGCCCCAAAACGCCAATCAATAAGCCCTCTCCCCCAAAGTCTACCAGTAAATATTAGCTCCATGTTCAACCGTAAAGGGATTAATAAACTGGCAAGAAAGGGGGTAAACGGGAGGGAGGCGGGGTAAAGTAAACTGGGGGGGGGGGGGGGGGGGGGGGCTGCCAAAGTAAACTGGGCTGGTAGGAGTAAACTGGTAGAGTTAACCCCCGAACTCTATCATTAATTAATTCCCCCTCATACCACCGTTCAATTTTTGCCCCCACTTCCCCCTAACTCAGCGAAATGAATTGCTAAACTGCGATCAATTGAAAAAGTAGGGCCCAACACTTCAATTTTAATGTGAAAGTAACTTTTTTCTTAAATGTAATACGTAGCAACTGCATCACACAAGAGATGAGGTAACTTTGAAAAAAGTTGTGAATTTCATGAATAACTTCTCGAAAAATCCATTTTAATAGATTCTATTTGATTATAATGGCATAAAAAATATTAGGATTATAATCGATTTTAATGGATTATCATCTATTATTTTGTAATTTTATAGACAATGACCATATTATGACAATATACTCAATCATAAACCATGGGCACTCGGTGAGGATATGTTTTGACTGTGCTCGACATGTTTTTTTTTTGTTGTGTTCTTTTTGTGTAAACTGTTTTCAACCTATTTCTGTTTTTCAAATCTTTCATCAACAGATATGAATGTATTGAAAAAAACAATTTTTGTTTGCTTTTCAGATCTTTTTGGGGGATGTTTGAACTTAAAAGTGGATATCGCTAATAGTGGAAATTTTGGCATGAAAAACATTTTTTTTTCAATTAGGATTTTTCAGTTTTGTTTTAGTTTTTCTTACAACATTGCACTAAACATTTGATCTAAAAAAAGATATTTGAGAAACTTTTTGAAAAATGAAAAAATAAGGCAAATTTTGATCCTTATTTTGATTTCTAAATTAAAACTGAGAAATTTTTCTTAATGAAAAATGGGGAGGAATTTTGTTTTCGGATGTGCTTTAGTTTTTTTTTCTTTTTTTTTGACGAGCAGGCTCACAAAAGTCTATTTTTGTTAGAGTTAGGCTGCAAATTTTTGGTTCACTGGTTTTTTTTGCTCAGAACCCTTCATTACAGCACGCAAAAAATAACGACAATAATTTGAAAAAGTTTTTTTGTAATTTTTTGGAGTATGCACTTGCACAGTTACCGGCAATCCTTGTTTTTAACTGCTCTTGACACATGTTTTGCTATTTCCGATCAAAATGGGTGTTCTTAGACTTTGTGCTTACCTTAAAATGGTTTCTCGACAGCGGATTTTCAGTTAAAAACTTGCAGCTTATCGACTTTCAAAATAAAAAAAATTTGTTTCTGATAATCAAAAATTTTCCAGTTAATTACATTGCCTTTACTGTAAAACGATAAAAACTTCAAAATCTAAAATGTTTGCAGATAGCAATCGCTTGATCTTCTGCTCTTACATTTAGCTGAAACAGTTAATTGCGCATTAATCAGTGTTTGCTGCAAAATCGTTCATTTGTAGGCGATTCGAATGCGAGGCTATTTAGGCACTCCAGAAAATGAGTGTGTTTTGCTATATTTGGAATAGATTGTTTAAGGTGTTCGCACTAAGGTGCCTCATATATATATATTTTTAGCTGCATGTGGTTTGCATGCTTCCCAAACAAATGTTTTCTCAAAATTTAAAGTAAAATTCAAATATTATTGCATGCTTTTGTATTTATTTTTAAATTCCGCTCTCAAGAAATGCCGCTGGTTTTGATGGAACACCAACAGACAGGCAGGAATTTTTTCTTTTCAGGCGTCTAGAATAATTTTTTGTTCGCCGAGCTTCCTCGCGTTGTTCGGAGCTAGGAGTTTCATTGCGTTGTTAGACTGATCTATCAGCTTCCAACTCAACTTTGTGGTGGTTGCGTCCTCTCCATATTGACGTACAAGTTCCGTTTTCTTGTGTTCTTGAAGTTCTAAGATCAAATGTCGAACAATCTGACCATCATAAGTGGAACTATATCCACATCAAGACAAGTTGTCGACATCATTGGATGTCAGATCACGCGGCCATGACTACATATGAGAGACACGCGATTTTCATTTCCGTGCCCTAAACAAAATTTGTGCGTTGATGATGCTGCGCACTTTGTTTGGCAACAATTGACTTTGATTTTCTCGATATTGAAGATTGAGCCCGGAGTTTTTAAATCCCTATTATTATGAACTGCCCGAGACTTCCTCCTAGTTGGTACCAGTTCTGCTCCAAGAGTTTTGCTTTGTGTTTCCGACTTAGATTAGGATGAACTTTATCCGGATATCGATTTGCCTTCAATTGTTGCCATTTAGTTAAAATTGTTTTATGGTAAATTACCCCTCTGGATGTGTCCATAGAGCCCTGTGCACCCTACCCTCTATAACGTTTCTTTTTTTTTCAGCAGACAAGTTAAATAACCTCTTGGTTAATAAAAACATGTCTAGGCATGATTACTTTTACAAACATGAACAGTATAAAATAAACTGCAGTGGTGCGGAACTTCTGAAGTTTACAGTTTTAGAACACCAGCATGTGAGATTTAGAAACCTATATTATATTCAGGGGCGGATCTAGGATTTTCTCGAGGGGGGGGGGGGCGGATTTTCAAAAAAAGTTCGAAAATTTTGACGACCTTTTTTTTTTTTAGGTCGACCAAATTGATTTTTCAAGCTCTCCCAAAGCACGGTTTTGTCCCAATTTTGGCTAAATTTTTTGCGCCGCAGGCAAAATTTTGAAAAAACCGGCCAAAAAAGGCGTTTTTTAAGCAGTTTTTGGAAAATTTTGACCGAAAAATTTGCGTTTTTTTGGCGCGCTGTCCCCCCTCAAAATTAGTATATATTGGCGCCTTAGGCGCCTTTAGAAAAATTTTAGGGTCGGTTGGCCAAAAATGGATTTCTTAAAAAGTATCAAAGGAGGGACCCTTTGGGTCGGCAGGGGGTCGAATCCCTGAGGGGGAGGGCGTCCGCCCCCCCCCCCCCGCTCCCCCCCCTCCCTAAATCCGCCCCGATTATATTTATATAATATACAATTATGTTTTTTTTCAGCCATCGCTTCTTGACCCCACGCTGTCTTTGTCTTCTCCTATGATGGCCTGCAGTTTCGTTCCCTCCCAATGCAGCGATGGTGGAAAGTGCTCTCAGATACTAGGGGGAGCCACTGGCCAGGATCTTGACTGTCCCCCTGCCCCTCTCAGACAGTCACACAATCAGGGTAGTGGTCAGCAATCGCAGCAGAAGGGGGGCAGGAGCAGTAAGATCAAGTGTCCGTTATGTGGATTGGAGACAAATGTCGATTTCATGCAGGTTTAGCCAACTGAAAAATTTTGAATTTTTTGCAAACAAAAGCATGTTTTGAAATGTATTCCTAATTAAAATTTGGATATTTTTCTAATGGTTGCATCCAGGGGCGGGTCTAGGATCGAGGGGGGGAGGGGATTTTCTGGATTTTCAAAAAAATTTTATCGACTTTTTTAGGTCGATCAAATTGCTTTTCCGAGCTCTTCGCCAAAAAACCGCGTTTTTTCGGCGCGCGCTTCCCCCTCAGCTTGATCATATATTGGCGCCAAACGAGCCTATAAAAAATTAGAGGGTCCGTCAGCCAAAAATGGAGATCTTAAAATAGTACTCAGGGGGGAACCCTTTGGGGATTAAAGTGAACAATCTCCCCCTTAAACTGATGTAGGAGGGAGAGATTTCACTTGGTTAAATGAAATAATTTTCAGCCAATTAGTTGTAAGCATAAAACATGCAGGTCATACGACTTGTATTTGCCATTTAATTTTAGGGGGAGATTGTTCACTTGGTCTATTAAGGGGGGGGTTTGACCACATGGCCCTTTTGGGTGGGCAGGGAATCGAATCCTGAGAGCCCAACCCCCCCCCTCCCCCATCCCTCCTAAATCCGCTGGAGGCTGCATCACAATGGGCTCTTTTCCCGTTTCCCCCCACCTCGTATGAGCATCAATTTAATGATGTAATGAGTGGTTTTAAAATGTTAAATATGAAGACCAAATATGTTTGTCATGGCCCGATTAGTCCGCATGCTAATTTTCTTGTTAATCGGTTGGTGATAACAGTAGTTTTACTTGTAAAAAATTGCAGGTGGGGGAAAGGAAAAATAGCCTCACAATGAAATATTCTGGTGCCCATGGCTCCAATATGTATTAGAACAGCAGTACTAAAAGAAAATAGAAAGTTTCAACTGTATATATTGTAGTGTTTTAATTTGGGCTTTTCCTTTGTGTTGCAGCAACACATGTCAGAGTGTAGCGAAGAGGGTGTGTGTTGCAGTCTGTGCAATGAGTTTGTCCACAAGGGAATACTATCCCACCACAAAGAGTACATCTGTGCCAAGAGACAGGTGTTCTGCAAGTCATGTGGACATAACTTCCTCGCCGATCAAATACAGGTAAAAATAAAGAACAACCAGTTACGGTGCAAATTACTTCAACTTTCGTTTAAAAAAATTAATGAATTTTAGTTCATTTTTTGTCGTAAACTGTTGAGTTTTTCTAGTAGTAAATTCGATTTATTGTTCCGACTTTTGATACGAAAGTAACGGAATATTTGTGCTCGGGGTGGGTTTTTTTTCTTCAGACAAATTTCGACTTTTTAAGTAGCCATTTTTGACGGAATTTTTTTTAATCATTCAAAAGGTATTGTTGTCCTGAGCTTAAATTTGAAAAGATATTTCACCTGTGATCATTTTTCGTAGAGTTATGAGGGTTTAAAGATTGTCATTTTGGACGTTTTGACCAATTTGGGACAATTAAGGCGCGATATAATTCGCGCTATTAACGCGTAAGCGGAGATATAATCCGTCTTATAAATCGTTCCAAACGAAATCTCTCTTTTTGTACTTTATATGGCGTGTGGGGGGATGATTTTCATAAAAAAATTTCAAATTTTAAAAAGAAAATTTTCATTTTATTTTATTTCATTTAATTTTTTTAATGTTATTACTGCTGCTCCATAAACCTTAAAAGGCAGTCGGAACATTCAGGGCTTCGCCCTGATACGGGCAGTCTTGTTCATTTTTGAATACAATTTTAGCTGTTTTAATTGCAATATCGTAAAGTTGTTTGGCTCTCTTTGTGACTCATTTCTACTCTTCAAGTTCAAAAAAACTCCCTCGCGTTGTCCGTATATCTGGTAGGAATTTTTTATGAATTTTAAACTACTTTTTGGCTCTTTTCCACCATCTTTCCCACTTTGCTATTCCGTAATATTTTGCTATTCCATGATTTTTTCTACAAAAAGTTCTTTAACGAGGCAATGCAATGAAAGACGAGTGAAAAATCTTGGTTACCAGGATACTTTTTGACAGTCTGATTGTCACAAAAAGAAAAATAGCAAGTTAAGAACATTAATCGAACGTTTCTCATTTGTTTGACAACGTTTGTAGGTTGGAAATTAAAAGTTAACCAGAACCAACTAAGCCATCGACATCATTAAAATCAAAAACACCAAAAAATTGACAGCAATAGCAAAAACACAATCAGCAAAATAAAACAAACAATAATATAACACCACAGCAACTACAGAGAACCGCCATAATTTTTTCTAATGCAACAAAAATTGTTTTAAGAAGCGTTTTGACAAAAATGACAGAGAAAAAAATCTTGTAATACAATTTCCGTAATTGAAATTATATGATGAGCATTTTTGAGCAAAACAGGAAAAACGCTCATATTTAACCAAACGACGTTATGAAGTTTAAAACACTCTAAGAATTGTTTCAAGGACGTTTTTGAAACTTTTAGTTTCGTTGGCATGAATGTCTATAATAAAAGTTTCATAAATGGAAACTGTCTGCGATGCATTTTTTGCTCAATTTTCTAATCATAAAAGTAGTCGAAAAAACGCCATTTTTAAGTTAAAGATAACCCAAAACTATTTCTAGAATTCTAAAAAATTTCTAATTTCAATAGAAAAATGCTTATTATAAAAATATTTTAAATGGAATTTGTATGATAAGCACTTTTTTGAAAAATTGAGCACAGTAAATTTTTCGATTTCAGTGAAAATTGGAGCAAAAACGAGCAACGTTTTGAAGAGATAAGTTTGGTAGTCTTCATTTTCAGAGACATTTGATAGTCAATGCATTGTTATTAAACAAAATGGATGGCCATGCAGAATATATCTGTCCTTTCTGATTTTTCTCAATAGTTCCGGATTACCAAGATGAATAGAGAACAAGAGAATTAAAACTTTATGTACGAGCGCCTTCAGGTTTCTTTTTACAAACGCTAAATTGACATTCAGAAGAAAATTTTACGAGTACCTTCATGTTTGAGCGCCTTTGGGTTTCTTTTTACGAACGAAAAAACTGACATTCATAAGAAAATTCATAAAACAGCCAATAAGTGGTTGTTTTAAATAGATTTGGGATGAGTAAAAACAGTATTCAAAGCAAATTTTGACACTGTTGAACAAGATCCCAAAGCGAAATAATATTCAAACACTTTGCTAACAATTACCGAACGAAACAATATTCAAACAAATTACTAACAATTCGCAAACAGAATTCAAACTTTTTGATTATCCTGAACTTTAGGCATTGCAGGAAACATTTACATTTTCCGCATCGATGTACTTCGGCACTATTGAAAGCGGCTTTTAAATTCTAAAGCAAACTTTGAAAAAAAAACAGAATAACATATTGAATATTGACCAATCACATAAATCAAAATTAGATGGCGATATGGCTGTAGGGTTTTTTTCAAAACTTTGGAAATATTGAGATTCCAAAGTAATATATATGCGTTGTTTTCAGGCAAAACAACCTCTAAAATTAGCCAATCAGGTTCAACCGCATAAAATTCAGCTCAAGATAAAAAAATTAAATTGAGAGCCGTTTAGTGCATAAAACCGAAAACAAAAAAAGAAAAACGCCCAATTTGATAGATGCTGCAAAATTAAACTAACGAAATTCCGCAAGATGCCTTCATCAGTTTGATTGAACAAACAAAGAAACCGAGGAGCTGCCTATTTGTATGTGTGGCGCTTATTACGCGCCTGCTACCACAATTAGAAATGAGGAGTTTGTTTTTGTAACAATAGCAACCAAAACATCAACTGATGCGTGCCGCATCAAACTGAATAAATATTTTAATTGCACACGCTAAGCGGCGCACATGCAAGTCTCTAAATCCTAATTAGCTCAAAAACTGTCATTCTATACCCGGTTTGCTTCAAAACAAAACGGTTATCACGCAAAACGGCGTATAATTCACAAACACAATTAGGTTGTATTTAGGCACTGTTGGACTTTCCTTTTTGATGTTGGATATTTTTTTATCGATAATTTCCTCTATAAAGTGAAGATGATATATGGTTAAATTTGGAATACAGTACAATCAGTTGACATGTCATTTCACACCAATTGCAGAGTTTCAAAGAGAAATAATCAAGTTCACCAACTCGAAAAAATATTTGTTGGCTGAAATTTTGTTAAAATTTTGTCGGCTGAAAAGTGAAATAGTTCCGCATCCAAAGATTTTCTATATTTTCTAAAAATAGGTACTTTCGGACGAAAACTACTTGAAAGAAGTTGAAATAATTTTGAAAAATCAAGCCGGATCTACGGTCCATCATGAAAATTCAATTAAATTTCCTAGCTAGCCGTAAGAGTTTCCCATTTTTACATAAATTTCTATATGGCAATCAGTGGCCGGAAAAGAGTTTTTATTGTTTCCATTGAGTGATTTTCACTTGTTCTCCTGTCGATTTATCTTGACTACTATTCATTTGAAGTAAATCAAAGAATCCAAGTTCTCATGAAAGGTTTGTAACTTCAAAGCTACCTGAAATTACCTCTATCTTTATGTCTTTTATTCATTGAGGTTATTCGAGAAAAATCTCTTTTTTTTGATACGCGGAAGATCTTGTCTGTTTTAATGTTTCTTGGCGCTACTAGTCGCTAAAATTTTTCGTCGAACTTTTTTACTCGGCTGGCTGTTTCTTTGACATAACTCTATGGTCGATTTCTTGGATTTTCCAATAAATTTAGAAATAACAACAATAACCGGTTGATAAAAAATTAGCACAGAATGTTCCAACCATCTTAACTGCTGCAAAAAAAAACTCACACCAATTTTTCATTTTTCTCTGATTTTTGGGTGCGTTTTTAGGAGCGGGAGAGGGGAAGAGTGTGGTGTCCCAAAAACTTCATGACTACGTTAATAGGGGGTTAAATTCAGCTATCATCCACAATTTTCATGAATTTGATAACAATATGATATAAAAAACTGATTAAGTGTGATAATCAACCTTGACAACCGTTTTCTGGACCCTAGAAGATTTTAAAAATTGAATTTTTAAGTTTGAAATTTCCGCAGAGTGGTTGTTTTGTAGGACTGGTTGTGTGTGCCCTGCAACAAATACACGGGAAAAACCCTAAAAATAATCAAATCATGCGTTTCTTGCTCGGTTTTGAACGGTTTTTGTGCGTTTCTTGGTAAGATTTGAGCGGTTTTTGAGCAAAATAACGACTAAAATTGCGCAAATCTTGGACGATTTGTGAGAGGAAATTGAAAAAATTTGAAATGATTGACTCGCTTTGAGGTAACCTGCGTCTGTGTAGAGTTTTACGTGCTCGGTCAGCAAAAAGTTTCTTCAAAAACAATTTCAGAGTGTTTTTTGAAGAACTGCTTCAGTTACGGAGCACGTAAATCACTACACAAACGAATGTTACCTCAAAACGAGTCATTTAATTCAAAACTATCGAGAACTCTCTTAAAAACAAATCGAGATTTGCGCGATTTGAGCGGTTATTTTGCTTAAAAAAATGCTCAAAAAACGATCAAACCGCTCTAAATTGCTCAAATCCAAGTTTGTGATTTGAAACGATATCGAAAAAAAACTTAGTTCTTATTTTGGTTTTTCCTAGTCCATTATTTCTTGTCAGTAACAAACTTAGCTTAACTTTGAGGAGCATTTTTGATTCATTATTTGAATTTCTTATTAGATTTTCAATCCCGTGCTGGAAGTGCATTTCTTGTTATGGAACTCTAATTCTTCTCTGGTAGCGACTTGAATAACAAACCAGGTAACTTAATTGAGTTAGCAGCTTTGCTTGTGTTCACATGAAGTTGAGATCAATTAGTTGATACATACTTCTAAACCAAATTTGAAAGCAATTTTGTAAAAGTAGTCGCTAAAATTTTTCGTGTAAATTTTTTTACTCTGATAGTTGTTTTATGTTTTTCTTTGACATAACTCTATGGTCGATCCATTAAATTTAGAAATAACAACAATAACCGGTCGATAAAAACTTAACACGAAATGTTCCAACCATCTTTACTGTCGCAAAAAACACCAATTATTCATTTTTTTCTGATTTTGGGTGCGTTTTTTCAAACCGCTCCAAATTTCTCAAATCCAAGTTCCAGATTTGAAACGTTATCG